ACCACTGGGTTGGACTTATAGAGACATTATGAACAACTGACCTGAGCCATCCTGATTATCTCTGACAAACTAGAGCCCACTGCTGAGGTCACAATGTCAATCCTTCTCACTGGGGGGGTGATTTTTGGGGGGGTGTCTTCCTCTCCTTCGCTGACCTTCCATTTTTCCAAGCATGATGCCCCTTCACAAGGAACAGCCTTGCTTAGCTACATGTCCAAAGTATGAAAGACGAAGCTTTTAGGGAGCTCTGGTGGCCTAGTGACAAGAAGCTGCACTGCAATCATAGTGGTCTGAATCCACCAGATGCTCTGCTGGAGAAGGGGCAATCTCTTCCTGTACCAGTCAGATCTGATTTGATGTTATACACAAAAAAATAATCAAAGAAAACAAAACAAAAATCAAAGATGAAGCTTTGCCATAAAAACTCACTGTCACGGAAGTTCAGATACATGGTGACCCTCTAAAGGGTTCTGTATAATGGTATGGAGGGGATTGCTTACTTTTCTCCAATAGAGTGGCTGGTGGATTTGAGTTGCTAATTTTTTGGTTAGCAGTCAAAAGATTACATGTACCATCCCACCACGTCTCCTCTGAGTTGAGTAAAAATACCCAAAACCCACTGCCAATGAGTCAATTTTGACTCACAGAGACTCCCCCCTGGGTAAATAAATCTTTACAAGAGACTGTCCATTTTTCCCCCTCACACGTTTAGTGTAGTGACTAATGGCATGTACTGTCAAGTTGGAACTGACTTACAGCTAACCCTCCAGCACACCTTCAGAGGCTGTAAATCTTTCTTCCACAAAGCAGCTGGGGGATTTGAACCATGTGTCTTTGGGTTGGCAGCATAATTCCTTACTAAGCTCCTAGAGCTCCTTTATGAACTTACTAGTTCTCTGGAAATAAAAAAACAAGCAACTGAAATGGAATTTGTTCTTGGAAGTCTGCAGCTAGGTCTGAGAATGGTGTTGTTCTTTATGGCTGGCTTATCTGCACCCAGGTACACCATGCAGAGAAAGGCAGGGGGACTGAATGATGGACTGCCCCAGTCAGTGGGCAGGCTGGTCCTGTGGTTTAGGCAAGGGCTACTGCCAGTTTGTGTCCGGGTCCTGCAGTGTAAGATCCTCATAAAGCTAGATAGCAAGATGGTATGGTTGTAGCTATGAACTATTCTGGCCCCAAAGCGCACCTAGGTGGTCAGTCTAACCTGTCTCATATGAGTGAGGAACATGTTACATCACCCACTCACTCCATGCTCTTAACTCTTATGACCATCCAAGGTAAACCACATGGGTGGAAGATGCAAATCGCCTGAACCTGGGGCCAATCAGCAGAGCAGAATGCCACAACTCTGGCCTCACCCCCCTGAGAGGTATCTCTGGCCTGAGATGTATAGACCTGCACACCTCCTGAGATGTGGCAAGGATTATTTTAGAGGCAGAAAAAGTGATCTTTACCTACATGGGAAGAAGCAAGCTACAAAGCAGGAAAAGAATTTTGTCAGGAGAGGGGCTGCTTTAGAAACTTCAGGATAGGCTGCTAAGTTTGTGGTTAGGAATCAGACATATAGATCAAAAGACAACAAAGCAGTAAGACTAAACATTAAATCCCTTAGACGGAAAATATCAGCAACATGAAAAAATATTGGTGTGATGCACTTATAAAAAGAACTTAAAGAATAGAGAATATACAGCATGCAAAAACGTCTACTGTGTGCATTATGTGAGGCAAAGTATTTTTTTCCTTGAACCTGAGTACTGACAAAGTACCTTTGCAAAACTGTAAATGGTTATAATCAGTCATCATTTCCCGGCTGCTGTAATGAAGCACCACCTTGTATGCTTTCTCTAAACTCTTTCCCTATTTTCCAGAGACCTGGGAGGCTGTGTGTTAAAGATGGCATCACAAATAGATCTTATAATCTTGAGTGACAATTTGAAAAAGTCAAAAATAAATTTTCTTTTTTTTTTAAACCATTGAGATCAAGAAATTATTTGTTACGGTAGTAGTTAGCCTATCATGAACAAACCACAGGAAAAAAAATCTTGAATTACAGTAATGATAAACAAAGACTAAGATTTTCATCAGGGGTTGTAAAGATCTTCATTTAAAAATCAAAGTAAAGACAGAGGTGTTGGGTTTTTTGTTTGTTTTTTTATTTTATTATTTTTGTGTGCGTGTACCATCAAATCAGATCTGACTGGTACAGGAGGAGATTGTCCCTCCTTCCCCGGCAGAGCATCTGGTAGATTCGGGTGTTGGGTTTTTTTAAATTTTGTAATTTATTATTTCGTGTTGTGTGTGTACCATCAAATCTGATCTGACTGGTACAGGAAGAGAGCACCCCTCCTTCTCCAGCAGAGTATCTAGTGGATTCGAATCACGTACCTCTGGGGTTGCAGTGCAGCTTCTTGCCATCAGGCCACCGGAGCTCCCTAAGACAGAGGTTTCTTAAATGTGAAGGTACTTTCTAAAATCAATCAACTCATGGCTACCCTTTACTGGGTTTCTGCAGCTATACACTACACGGGAGGAGACTTTCCATCTTTCTTCTTGGAATCTCTGGTGGATGTGAACAGCCAAAGAGGTTCAGTCTTCGGGTCAACAGTGGAATTTCCTACAGACTAGCCACTAGAGCACTCTCAGTAAGTATCCTTAAATTATAAGGTGTTTCCAAGGCAAAACGGTTCAATGGAAAGAGAAACAGTAGATTCAAAAGATTTACATACACACAAGAAGAAAAGTAACTGCACTTCATCGGAAAGCCTACAGTGGACCTCTTTCTTTTTTGGGGGGACGTTTTTCTTAATGTACAGTATTCTTTGTCTTAAGATTTGGTGCAATAGGTCATTAAAATTGTAATATAGGATGAATTTTTAATGAAGGAAGTTAGAAATAAAATGACATTTCTTTTTGAAGGAAAAAGAAAGACTTGTAAAAATCTGCCAATTAAATCATGTGCTTAGGTCATTTGGAAAATGTACTTGCTTTGACCTTTCAAAAGAACTTTTGTGAAGGTTTATTATAAATGTTGAGAAAACATTTTTTTAAACTATAAAGCACTACAAAAAAGAAAATTTTTACAATAAGTAACAACACAACACTTAAGAGGCCACTGAATTGGATAATCTAGGTGTTATATTGTCTTCCAGTATATTTTTAGAATTTTGTGAAGACCACAGAAGATTCAGTATTAAGTTCTTTTCTTATATTTAAAAAAATTATTTTTATTTTGATTTTTTTGTTTATTTAAGTATAATTCATAAATTTTGACACATTTATGTAGTGTGTAAGTAACCATCATCAGAATTAACAGAAAATATTTCCAAAATCCCCCAACTTTTTCATATTACCCTTTGCATTCAATTTCTTCCTTTCTACTCACACTCTGACAATCATTAGTCTAATTTCTGTCTTTCCAATTTTCCCTTTTCCAGAATTTCACATAAAGGGAATCACAGAGCATAAAGCTGTTCGAGTCTTAAGATTTATCCACACTCTGGTCTATATCTATAGTTCGATTTTACTGAATAGTATTTCATTGTATGGGGGGGTATCACAGGTTATCTATTCACAAGTTGTTGAACATTCAATGTATTTCTATTTCTAGGCATGGAAATTATTAATAGTACTACTATAAATATTTGTGGAAAGGTTTTTGTAGAATTTAATGACTTCATTTTTCTTGGACAAACTTCTAGCAATATAAATTGCTAGGTCATTTAGTAAGAAGTGTACATTCAACTTTAAAGAAACTGTCATGTTTTCTCTACTATTTATATCAGTTTGCAGTGCTAAGTTCTTAACCCTATTTTTTAACTCCTTTTTCTAAACATTCAGTAAAGTTAAAGTTATTTAACTATTAAGCCTCAAAACCTAAAGATAATGTGTATTTCATATGTATCTGCCGTGCTGTGGGTCTACTGTTTAAAATGGTTTTTTTAGCCCATTGCCCTTGATTCTGTCACATGGCCAGGCAAGAACATGTAGACAGAATAGATACATCCTGAGGCTCAAATCAGGAAGATGAACCCAAATCACCACCCTTAAGGTGTGGCATCCCTATAAGAAGATATTCTTTTTTAGATCACTTAGGATCACAATGCTAACCTAATTCAGCCACCCAAACTTCACCTGTCCTGTGAGTAAATGGTTCACAGTTCACCAGCTACATCATCAATAGCAGGGTGTGTCATTATTTTCTTTCCTTTTTCTTTCAGGTTCTTTCACGTTCTATGAGAGCTTCCAGTAAATTATGGAACCCAAAAACAAAGATGAAACTAAAGGGGACTGGAGGAAGGTAGTGAGGGGAGGAGGAACAGTTAATGCAGGAAATGATGGAGCAGTACAGCAGACAGGAGGATTGGACATTTGGGACAATCTTGACTTCTGCCTTTTAGTAAATAATCTGGTATTAATCTTTGCAGAATAAATTTTAATTACAGTATCAAATATGTACTTTTTAGAATTTCATTTGTTTTCTTCTAAGAAATTCAGTTTTTTAATTACAACATACTCAGTGCAATCTTTAAAAAAGAATTATTTTCTTAGTCAACCCACCAGTATTCTACTAAATATATGCACAGAGTTACCTAGTATAATGTTAGTCAAATATTAAGACAACTGCCTTTGAGAAGGTTAGGTTTTGGGTACTTTATTGTTTTAGTTTATTTCTCTGTATTAATTTCATTTTAAATAATTATGCATGTTTATAAATATAAGACAGCCATCATTTTTATTTTAAATAAGAAAAACAAATCTTTGACCACCGTAATACCATTTCGCCAACTCGAGAGTCAGTCTAAAAAACACAGTACCTTTTGGGCTAGCAGAGAAAGTATACAGCAGAAGTTCCACCATGTCAACAAGCACGTAAAACCTCAACACAGGCATTTGAGTCTAATGTTTGGGTTTTATTCTTTTCTCTTGAGCTCAGTATACTCTCTTTCACCAATAACAGGTGTACGGTATATGTAAAACACATCCTCAGAGTCTCATACCTTCACAACAGGATGTCCCCCTGTAGATGCTTTTACTGCCCCTCGGCTACCTTCAGTTTCATAATGGGCTCGATGATGAGTCTTAGGCTGCACTTCTATTTTCAGTTCACATTGTCCAAAATGAGTTGGTAAAGGCCAGTCTAGTGGAGGCAATGAAGATGTGCTATAAACAAAAGACACAAAGATGCATTTCACTGTGCTATTATTGTCAAGCAGTGTTTTACTCTTTACCAATACCAACACCATATCTTGGAATCTTTGAAGTAATCAACTTATAGTTCTTATTAATTGTTTGGAATCAACTCATAGCATTTATTTAAAAATAAAGAAATTTATGTATTTATTTAAACCTCCTAGTTATTACACTCAATAAGAAGCCCTAATGGCTCAATAGTTGAGTGCCTGGCTGTTAACCAAAAGGTTCAAACCTAGCAGCCACTTTGCCAGAGACAAGATGGAGCAATTTGCTGCAGTAAAGATATGTCTTCAAAACTAGGCTCTTCTACTCTGCCACCCTGAGTAAGAATCACTCGAAGGCAATCACTACTGACACCAGACAATGGGGTTCTAAACAAATAACAGTTTAGTCTGAAGAATAAAATGTGTTTTATCCACTTTTTTCCATCTGGTGACTAGTCCATAACAAGGTGCCCTGCTAAGCCAAAAGGTGTCGCATCTTTTGAATCAAACAGTAGATCTGAGGGAGAAAGAGAAGCCATCTCTAGCCTCTGAAAACCCACTGGAGGGTCAGCTATGAGTTGGTTCCACCTTGACAGCAATGTGGGTTTTTTATATATTTTTAAGGACAAATTTTTAATATTTTATGCAACTGTAACTCCTCTTGTACTAATGTACATTACTGTTGCTATAAGCTGTCAAGTCGGAACTGACTCACAGCTCACCCTCCAGCAGGTTTTCAGAGTAGGAAAATCACACAGGAGGAGACTGCCCACCTTTCTCCCACAGAGCAGCTGGGTTGGACCGCATACATGTGGGGTGGCAGCACAACTCCTTACCACTGTGCCACCAGGGTTTTCCATACTGTATGTACAATTACATAAACAAAAGAATAAGTGGATTACTTAAAGCAAAGATGCATGTCTCTGTGTATATATAGCAAGTATTTCCCCAAGTGTATCTGAACCTCTCTCTTTCATTGTAAATCTCTTTCTTGGATGACGCTACTTCTCCTACCCTCCCTATTATTCGTCTCTCCAAAATATTCTTTATAACAGTCATATACTGAAATTTGAATAAAATTAAATTTTTGTACATACATGACTAAAAAAAAAAGTTTATCACTGTCCAACCCATCACCACTGAGTCAATTACAACTGGTAGCAACCCTTGAGAACAGAAGGGAGTTCTGGTGGTGTAGTCCCATTATAATTTGTTGTTAGATGCCATCAAGTTGACTACAACTCACAGTGACCCTACTGAACAACAGATCTGACCCTGACTTATCCTGTGCCATTTTCATAATTTCAAATATACTTGAGCCCACTGTTACAGTTACCATGTCAATCCATCTTGTGGTGGATGGTCTTCTCTTTTGCTGACTCCTTTGATGTTCTTTTCCAAGTATCGGCGTCCCTAACAAGATGCCCAAAGTATGTAAGCTTTGTCATTCTTAATTTCCAGGGGCACTTTGATTGCACTTTCCTGATATAGGGTTGCTAGGAGTCAGAACCAACTTAAGGGCAGTGAGTTTTCATTTCTTTTAGTCTACAGAACAGAGAAGAACTACCCCATAAGATTTCTAAGAGAGGCAGATTTCCACATTTTTCTCCCTAAAGATAGCTAGTACGTTCTACCTGTCAACTTCTGATTGGCAGCTACCAGGGCAAGACACCCTGGTGTGAAAGAAAAACTCCAGCACTGCAGCTTCTCTAAATATCAGGTTTGGGGGAGAAAGAAAGAATCAGTAAGATAATTTTTAAGCACTCTAGAGTTCTAAAGTTCATTTAAATGTGGGGTTAGAAAAAAAGTAACTCTATGTCTTCAGACCAACTATTAATGAGCCCAACACCAGAATGATTTGTAATAAAAAGTAGCATAATTTTAGAGACTGGTGAAATGGGACTTTTAGGTCTCTCCCACCTCTGAAATGCTATTATCCCTACTGCAAATTTCCTAAATTACTTCTCTACTTTTTAAAATTAATTTTTTTACTGTAAAAAATAGGCATGAGGATCCAAGGGGGTAAGAGGGGGAGCTCTTAAATTATTTCAGTGCTTCATTTAATTTCCTTAGCGTAGCTGTTAACTATTGATACTATGAAGACTAATTTTTATTACTTTGAAGCAACAAATTAACTTCAGCTCTCAGCTAGTTCTGTAGTTGTCTGGCAAAACTCCTAGAGAATTTAAGATAATTTCCAGAATAGAGGGAAGGGTTCAACGTTGTCTTTAAATACTACAATTCCACACATTTGTTTTCTAAGTATTAAGATCCAGTAATGGAAAATCATGTAAAAATAAGTCAATCTCAACATAAAAATCCCCTAAATTAATCCAATTCACTCCACATGGAAATTTAATACTTAAAAAGTGGTGTTTTCAGGAGAGCTCTGGTGGCCTAGTGGCAAGAAGCTGCACTGCAATCCCAGAGGTGCACGGTTCAAATCCACCAGATGCTC